TAGTTACTCGATAGAAAGAGAAACCGGTTATTGTAGTACTTAACATCATCCGATTTGACAAGCTAATTGGCACCCAAAGGAAGGTTTTGTCAAAAGAAAAACATTTGTAAAAGATGAATGCCATTGCACCAACCAATCAAAATTTATAGGACTGGTGAAAGTTTTTGCAGACAACTCAGAGAAAGACGGATGGACAGGGCAAAAACTATCGGTATATACCCAGAGGATCGAGATAAGAGTTTAAACTATGAAGTATATACATACGAAAACCAGGGATGCCCCAATCAGGCCTCCAAGCATCTGAGCTAAGATATAACATACTGCAACAAGGATAGGCACACCCCCACACAAAGTCACCGCAGCAGTAATGGCAGGGTTAAAATGCCCTCCACTACAAAACATGCATTTTACAAAGTTTAATTTGCAATTCGAATTTTAGACCTTCAAAATTGGAAAAATATATTCAAATTCAAATGAATAAAATTTTAAACTTTAAAATTTCGGATACTCAAACCTACCTGAATTTTCCCAGCCCTGCAATGAGGGAAACATAAGCAAAACCCTGTAGGAGACCTGATAAGTTGGTATTTTTTGCAGGAAATAAACACACAGTAAACACGAACAGTGTAGTTCCGATGAACTCGGCTACGACTGGACGAACGACTTTGTCTAAAAAAGAGTTTCCCTCAGCCATTTTACAAAGGAAGTTAAGAAATTAATTTGTGCATAAGTAGATACTTTCACGTACCGGTATTTTGGGTTTCCTGGGCAGCATATTAGGGAAATGCGTAATAAATGAAAATGAATCAATGATAACATTGTTAGATTGAAAGGAGTGTGAAATATGCCTTTATTAAAAGACAGATCAAACAAACAAACTTTTATCCAAAATCCTAAAATTAATGAGTAAAATAAATAAGTTTAACTGCTTAGATTTGAATTTCATCAAATGTTTTACAATAAGAAGAGACAAAATGTGTTGGTATAACATTGATGCCCCCGTATGGCAGCTTATGGCGAGAGTAGCATTTTCTCAAATGCACGTCAACAGTAAAGGTCAGAAGTGTTGATATCCAAAGTGTAAGGTCTTGTTACAAGAAATAAACCTGTTAAATATGAAAGCCTTAGTTCTAACTGTTTAAAAGTTATGGCCAATGTTAAAGTTTTAAATGGGGGCAGACTCTAAGGTCCAGGTCAAAAGGTAAAAAATATTTATAGCCACTGAAAGTTTTGATCACAATGAATACACAATATTTGTGAAGTATAAAAGTCCTAGAGTGGTATTTGTGTAAACATAGGTCTAACTCCGAGGTCATGAGGTCAAATTTGATTGTACCCAAAGATGTCTTGCCACAAGAAAATGAAGAAATACACCTGTGAAATATGAATGTTGTCCGTCCATTCGTCTGTCTGTTTTTCCGCAAAAACTTAAATCTTGTCCATAACTGTGGATTGGGTGGGGCTATGACTTTTCTCTTTCACAGATTATTTCTTGTGACAAAACCTCTCCTTGAGTACTGTCCTCTACAAAAATTTGAATTTTTCAATTAAAATTTGTATAAATTAGCACATCTTTAATGATTACACCAACCCGATCAACACTCGGGCCGTGCTAAAATAAGACCCCACTAGAAAACTTGAACGGCTTATTGCTCGCTTGAAGAACTTCTCTTGGAGTTCCCTGACGATCCGGCATGCCCAAAGATTCCGTCAGCTTTCCTGACGATCCGGCCCAAAGATTCTGTCAGCCACGATTAGCGTTCCTATCTAGTTTTGAGTCTTATTAAACAGATTCAAGACAAACTTCGACCAGCGTTTGAACTTTTAATATGGAACTGACAAATTTTGATACAGGTCGGTGTACTCGGGACGGCTGTCCAATTCCGACTCCTTATACAAATCAAATTCAACAGTATATATAACAATTAGAATGTGACATTTGTAAAGATGACATTTGGAGATAAATAGATAAAAGTTTTGACACTTGAGTAAAATCTCAAAATAATTGAGGGACGGATTATCGCCCTTTTGATGTTAATTTGCCTAAAGATAATTTAGCAATATCAAACGATGACAGACGTTGAAAACCAGTTAGCTTGGATTACCTAAAATCTCCGGTAATATAATTCAATAAAGATTAAGAGTCGTAAATTCGATACAGAAAATAATTTCAAAAACTCAAAAATTTAGAAAGAGTTGTTTTAAAAACATGAAACATTAGCTTAATTTCAGAAACTAGCAAAATCTTTTAGAACAATAAAATTTCATCGTGATAACCTGTCCTCTACAAAAATTTGAATTTTTCAATTAAAATTTGTATATGACAGTACCACCAAATTTGACCTTTTGACATTGACCTTGGAGTTTGACATACTTTTACCAAATATATCAAACTTCTACTCTGGCCAAAACTTTTGAACGATTGTCGCTAGGACTTTCATACTTCACATAAAAAAATCCTTGTGACAAGATTTTTCATTCTTTACTGATATAATCCTTTTGACACGACCTTTCATCGAATACTAACAAAGAGACATAACGCTTTTGATAGTAGTGATTTTTTTAAATACACTGTTTAACCAAAATTTTGTCATACAATGTTAGTTTATACATGCCTTAAAGCAAATCACACAAAAATAATATTCAAATATTAATAGTTCCCTCATATGATAGATATAAAAATCGTTCAGTTTATATGGAGTGGTTAAAGGTGGTCTTCATATTGAAAAGTTGAAAATATGTATGTAATTTTTCTTCTAAAATTATTTCAAGAACCAACAATCTGTCTTAATTTTATCCGACGACCTAACATGACTACGTGGCGTAGTGGTATAATTGTTGGATTGAAGAAACAGCGGTCGTGAGTTCGAGTCTCACGTGCAGTGCGTGTTTCTTATCTACGATTTTATTTTTTTTTTTTATCTCTGTGCATTTTTCCTTTGTTTTCTTTTATTATTTTTTTCATAATACATTTATAAATAATGTAAGAGATATATAATACAACATTACACCTTGAAAGTATTTGGGGAAAAACAGTCTTAAACTATTTTAATGACCCAAAGTCATAGCTGCTAGCTTGTTTTATTTTTAAAATTTTCTAACAATCTTGTTTAGAATAAGAGTATTTAACAAGTAAAATAATTGTCACGTAACAGACTTGCAACTATGAAAATATAACACTGGTCCACAAATAATTACATACATGTAGTTTTATGTAACCCTAGTGATCTGGCTAGACTACCGCAATAGTTGAAATATAACAAACAATGTATACTGAGTGAGAATTGTCATTTATTAAATGACAATAAGTATATAACACAGATAAAGTTAAGGGGAGATCACCGGGATATTTCCTGAGTACAAAGAACAATAAATTTGGCAACGGTTGCAAACAAACATTACTTTGGCAAAAATATTTTGACAAATAAAAAGTATATAAACCACAAAGTTGTCAAAACAAAAAGCTGCCAATATTTTTAAACAAACAAAGTATTTAAAAAGGAAAAAATTAATAAAGATGACAAGACAAAAGTTGCACGATGGCAAGTAAGATGGCACAAGGTATATATTATGATAAATAAATTACAAAACATAATTTGAGACCACAAATAATTACATACATGTAGTTTGATTTTCTATTGAAAAGGTACCTGTATTTATAAATAGAAACAGGTGATTTCCATTTAAATACTTGAGTAGGCCGAATCGTCGGTAAGGCAGCTATGGCTCTTTGACATTGACCTTGGTCTTTGACCTCCTCTTAAAAAGTTAAATCTTGACCATAACTTTTGAACGGTTATGGCTAGGGCTTTCATACTTCACTATTCCTTGTGACAAGACCTTTCTTCGTTGACGCTGGAATTGAACTTCCTTTTAAAAACTTAACCCTGATCATAACTTTTGAAAAGGTGCTGCTAGGGCATTCATATTTCACAATTGTATTCCTTATAAAAAGGTTTTAATTTGGGAACCAACATATTTAATTGGCATTTGAGAAAGTTTAACCTAGCACAGTTCTGTAGAACGCAGACACCCCCCCCCCCCCACACACACACTCACATTAAAAAACGTTGCTACAGACCTCTATCAAACGGTATTTGGATTGCTGAAATATTAAATTATTTTGCAAGCCTTGATGCACAAAACTAATGCCGGTGAAAACTTGTTCTATCTTTTAAAAGCTAGAACTAGTCGTTGAATTACAATTTGCATTCAAGCTGTTAAGTTACGTGTATCTATATACAGTATACTGCAAGTTCTTCCTACTTTTTAAAATGCTTCTACCATAGAATTAATGTTTAGTTTGTAGATAAAAGTATATGTATAAGAGAGAAATTCGGATCCACCAATGAATATGTAAATGCAAAATGCGGATTTAAAAGCACGATTTGCCAATGAATAGCATATTCTTATAAATTCGAATAGGGCGAATTATTCTACGGGCAAGTTACCTAAGGTGCGAACTCTCTAGCATTCCCGCGCCGGCGTAGCCTGTCGTTTGCCCATGGCATCCGGTTTAACCTCGCTTATATATTTACTGCGTGGACCTCAGGGTCCACGCAATTAACTTCTAGTGGCGGGAATTCTAATGAATCTGCAAGCCAATCGGAATTCAGTGAAGGCTCTTGTACCGTTTATTTTCAATAGTACAAGCTGATACAGATTCATCTAGAGGTACATTGTATATTTTATATGATTAACACAACCATTTCAATCCTTTCTCTCTTAAAACTTTGTGACTATTTTCATACATAATGCGGCAGCAGTAATTGCAGGGTTAAATACCCACCACTACAATAGATGAAGTTAAGAAAGTTTTTTTTTTCAAAAATCAAATTTCAGTCCTTTTGCGTTGAAACAAAAATACATTCAGGAATCTGTCCCAGCAAGTGCAAATCATTTTCACAGTTTTTTTTTTCCATTTTCTTTTCACTACCTCAAATATTTCAGTTAACAAATAAAAAAGGTATAAGAACAAAAATCAGTAACTATTATGGAGAGTTTCACTTCACAGTAAGACTACTGAATGCAGATTGTGTTTGTTTGAGCTGTAAACAATCATATGTCGGATACTTAAGTCTTCTTGATTTTTCTTAAGCCTACAATAAGAAAAATATAAGCAAACCCCGTAGGATGCCCGAACTAGGAAATAACAAAAATAACAGAAAAACGAACAGATTAGTTCTGATGAGCTCGGCTAGGACAGGACGAACGACTTTGTCTTTGAAAGAAAAACAAGATTTCTGATAGAAGGGTGTTCTGGCGTACGCCCATCTGTCATCTGCTAACATTTCACATTTTCGATTCTTCAAGAACGTATGGAACAATTTCATCCAAACTTACCACAAGGCATCTTTGGGTAAAGGAGACTTGCTTTGTAGAAATGAAAGGCTTTGCCCTTTTCCAAGGGGATGTAAATAAAATCTGAGAAAATTAAATGGCATTATTTAAAACTCTCCTTCTCTATACAAATTTGGCAAGAGAAGATGAAACCTTTGTGAAATCTTCAATAAACAGTTTATACTCTTATGCAGCTTGGAATTGGAAGAAGATTGAATTGTTCATTTGAATACAAGGGGAAAATTTTGAAAAATCTTCTTCATAAAAACAGCAAAAGTATTATCTAAGGAAACATCGATATCCTCAGGTAGTGTACTTTAAGTTAACTTATTCAAATCATGATACCAGGAGTGGGGTGGACAGAATGTGCAATCGATCAAAGTTTTACATAGGAATGCAAAAGAAACTCTTATGAACAGAATAGCCGTGATTTGTCATATTTATAATGAAGCATGCTAAGGTAGTGTAGATTCAAGTTGCCACATATTGCTATACGCTGAACTCGTAACTTTTTATGTAATGTGTAAGACACACTTCTAAATATTTCACTTTTTTTTGGTTGCTTAACGTCACTCTCAAGAATTTTTCACTCATACGGTGATGCCACCATTGGCTGCAAATAGACCTATAAATGGCATCATTAACAAGAGAAGAATCACCTACTGTGACTCAAGACTTGGTTTATACAGTCTCATCCAATGCACCGGTCTTCACGTCCCACAATGGGATTCGAACCCGCGACATAAAGATCAACCCCTTATTCCACAACTCTTAGAGCAGACGCTCTAACGACTTTTGTTACATTAATGTACATGGCGACCAATTTTAATTTGTATAGTTTAAGCAATTTACAGTAGATTTTCATTTATTTGTAAAATGTATACAATAAAACAAAACTTGAACAACAAATACATATTGACAAAGTTTTTGCTCGTGTGTACATAATTTGTAGATAAAATTCACGAACATTTGTCCCCTACAAAATATGATGATTCCATATTATGTTTCCTAAGGTCCCTTTTCTAGATATGCCTTTTGCATCAATATACTAAGATACAATTATTATCAATAACTGTAATTATAATACTGATGCAAAGCATATTTTGCTAAATCCTGGAGAAAGACACTATGCCATATTCAAAAATAACATTTTACACGTATTTAATTTTTGTTTAACATAAAAATAACAAAAAATTAAAAAGCTTATAAATAATACTACAGAAAGAGAATAAATTTATGCAAAATTATTATATAAAATTAGTTTATCGTTCAATGTAGAGTCTTCTGTTTCCGGTAGCAAACAGCATCCTGAAATTAGAGATAAAGTTAGTTCTTTAAAACTTTCTTTAGTAGTTGTAAATGTCTTTAGCTGAAATGTAATGGTATTGGCAGAAACATCTGTACCGTCTACGGTTTTTTCTTTGATTTTGTTTTGCCGTTTTCTTTATTATATAAGAGAATTGTCATTCATTTTCATTACCCTTTCATTTTTTTTTTGTGAACTGAATGCTATGATTTCATTGACCAGTATTCCCTGAAGGTTTTCATACCTAAAAGATGTTTCTACAATAACCATCCCTGAATGTGTACAAATAATTTCTACAGCCACCAGATAAATTTAATGGTAACGCAAGACATGCAAAGCATTCTGTAAATGAATATTCTTAGAATAAACTTACTTATATAAAAGAGCTGCCACACCAGCTCCACATATAGGACCAAACCAGTATACGTAATGATGTTCCCAAACATTTACGTCCCCATATTTAGAGTATGCAACAGCGGGTCCAAAGCTTCTTGCTGGATTCATAGATGCCCCCGTTGTTTTTGCACTGTCGTGGCATAAATGTAGATAGATTAGACGGATTTTTTATAGATTTATTTTACAGAAATTCATGATGATCTATATAATACAGGGGAAGCTCATTACTCCATGGCACCTGATCCCACCTCTGATTTTAGAGGTCCGCGTTTGCTCTGCTTCAAATTTTTATTGTTTTATGGACTTTTGAGCTTGAATACTCTTCGTTATCTCAACATATTTCATAAATAACTTAAATTGAGGATTAATCTTGTTCTTTGAAGTTTCTTAAAATTATAACTTTACCCTGCAATAATGTCTACAACCACTGAAAATCCGATAGCCAAGGGAGCTAACTTAGTCTTGTTTTCATCTACTGCGGTTAATAAGACGGTGAACACTAATAAGAAGGTCAGTATGCCTTCAGCCAGCACCGCCCAGCCCGCATATACGCCACTTCCCAGAGTATGCGCGCCTCCAGTTATTTCTTTATACACAGTTTCGGGTAGAACTGCCTGAAAAATACTAAAACCGGTATATTTTTGAAAAATATCAAATAAAATATCATTTTATAGATTAAAAATACTAGTTTACTGGTAAAAAAAAATGTAACTTATTTCAAAAAATAAAATTAACTATCGTGAGAATTTTATACTGTTAACACGTTTAATGAATGAAATTTTATTATTATATTTTAATGCATATATTTACAGAGAAGGGGCATTGTATTAAATGGAAAAACTCACCAGAACAAAGAACACCACCAGAACATACCTCCTAGTAGCTGAGCCAAAACGTAGAAGATACTGGCGACCCAATGCATTCCCCCTGACAGCGTTACCCCAAGTGTTACGACTGGGTTAAAGTGACCGCCACTGGAAATAAAAACCAAACTTTAGATCCTCCGAACCCAGGCCAAATTCTAGAAATTTTTAAAGTGAGAGAAAAAAAATTATTTTAATTTTTTAGCAAAACGAAGTTTGGATCAAAATGCAGGTTAAATATGTCATTTAAGCATCTTTCAGGAATTCTTCTAAAAAAAGATAATTTCAAAAAAGGCATCACTGGGTTAAAGCTAATTTACATGTTTTAGTTTTCAGTATCTTTCTTTTTTTTTGTCATAACTTTTAATTTCTTGACATAAGTTCTTACGGAAGCCGGTAGGTTAAAAAGATAATGGCGACCGCTAGATAAAATATTTTTCTACCTGGCACCAATAGGCTTACGTCAGTTCTAGACATAGTTTTTCAAGGCACCTTTTTAACCCCACCTTTGCAAAATTATTGTCATTTATTCAGTCATTTTTGGTTAATCAATGTTTGACATTAATTTCATCATCTGATCAAATATATTTATGGTAAATTGAATAAATGACCTTCCTTACAAAAATAAGTTGTTCTGTCTTTCATTGCAAATGAACTCAGACTCACTGGAGAACATAACTGGTTGTTTCATTATGACAAATAGAAGGTGTATTATGGAAACAAAATATGGAATGAAATTTAAAGTTATTTATTTAATGAAAAATTTGGGTGACAAAAATATTTTTTCAAGAATAAACTAGAGGTACTGTGAACCCTGAGCTCATTAAATGATACCTCCCCCCCCCTATATTAGAATGTTTGGCTCTGGGAGATCTGAAATGAGTCTCGGGTCAAAAAAGTAAAATACATGTAGGAGGTGCATAATGGCATTGTTATAAAGAATCTGTGAAAGTATCATTAAAATTTAATCACTGGTATAGGAGGAGCAATCACCAGGAGATGACCCGGTGTCGTATAGTGAGACTTCCCCCATAGTGAGGCTTCCCCCGGAAGGCTCACTATATAGTGAGTCTTCCCCCAGGAAGGCTTGCTATATAGTGAGCCTTCCCCCGGAAGAATGGCTATATAGTGAGATTTCCCCCACGGAAGTTTCACTGTATAGCCGTTCTTCCGGGGGGAAGGCTCACTTTATAGCCAGCCTTCCCCCATTCATAGCGAGACTTCCCCCTCTTATTATAGTTTCCGGAACATTGTTTTATTATTTAAATATCTTATCTCAATCAAGTAATGACTGATGCATGCATGCACGCTCTGTGTTTCAACGTATAAAGTGTAAAAATGAAATTGCGACAAAACAGATCTACACACTAAAATTGACAATTAGCCATCTCCGACTTTAGTGCAAAATAGTTTAGTCAAATAAGTGACAATTGCAATGCAGTATATATTTTTTTTAATTTTACGTATTTTTTATACGTGTATATATTCAAACATCCAATCGTCCAAACCCAGTTTGATAAAATATCTTTAAATAGATAATTTTTAAAACACGACCAAAATGAAAAAATAATTGTATGAATTGATGTATGGGTGTGATGAGCAGGGGATGCACACATTTTCATGCAATTTTTCCGGTCATAATTTAAAAAAAAAAAAAGGGGGGGGGGGGGGTTAAGCCCAATCCATGCATCCGGTGCCTTTGCTAAAATATGTATGACAGTCAGAATTTGATTTAAAGTGTATTAGAACTCAAATCCATCTTATTTGATTTTATAGTGATGTAATTTCATTAATATCACGCAAATTTAATATCAAAATGAAATACAAATCCTAAAAATACTTCATAAAGTTTATAAAAGTTAAAAGGTCCCTAAAGCATACAATAAATATTTAATTATGTCGATGTATATAAAATACAAACCGAAAACCGAAGGGGGAAGACTCACTATGGTCATTATGGGGGGAAGTCTCACTATATAGCCATATTTCCCCCCAGGGGGAAGACTCACTATATAGCCAGACTTCCGGGGGGAAGTCTCACTATGGCGGAAGTCTCACTATATGACACCGGAATGGGGTTTCTTCAGATCCTTGTGTAGCGACCTATGGGAGTAAATGAGGGGATCAAATGATCTGATTTTAATCAGATTGTAGGAGGAGTTGCGGATAAGAGATGGATGCCCTTCAATATTATGGAAAAACGGACGTATAGACAGACGGACGGAAGTACAGCTAGACGTCCTTCCGTCCGTCCGTCTATTACACTTTAGGGTTCTTATCTCTTTAGGCTTTCACAGAATCTTCATTACAGAGTGCCATTTTGACCTCCTATTTCACTTTTTTTTTGATCCGACACATATTTTAGGTCTCCCATAGCAAAACAAGGACACTGCAATTCTTTCAATAATATTGAAGAGTATCTCTTATCCGCAAATCATCCTATACCACTGAATGAAATTTATCGATACTTACACAGATTCTTTCTTACATAATGACATTATGCACATTCTATTTTACTTTATGATGATATGGTCGGACACTTCGGGTTTCCCAAAGCAAAACATTTACTTTGTCATTTTATAATCATATGGGAGGCGGGTTAATCATTAAGTGAGCTAATTACTCACAGTACCTTTAGTTATTGTTTTATTTTCATTTGTGTATTAATTCTATTGGCTAAAGATTTTGAAAAGAAATTTTACACTGTATAGCAACGACGGAAAAATATTTTGGTTGCGGTCGCCATACATGTTTTATTTAAATGTTCAGTGTAATTATTTATTACATTTTCACTTATTAGACTTGTAAATATTTACATTTCCAATGTCTTTGTCCGAGATAAAATTACCAAATGTAAATGTAATTGATTTCCTCATGAATGTTTTGGCACGGTTCCAAAAAAACCACGTGCAGGGCGGGACAACACCTAGAGAGAAGCAGGCTTGGAGCCCGTGGATTGGCGGAATCAAAGCATGTAAATATAAGGAATAACTGTCAGATTTTTCAAATTCATGAAGATGATCAATGGATTGGCTTGTGTGATAATTTTATGCATAAACGCCTTCGGCGTTTATGCAAATTATCACACAAGCCAATCCATTGATCACTTCATGAATTCGAAAAATAAGACAGTTATTCCTTAAATAAATGAGTAAAAATTTTATAACTCCCTGTGCTTTTTTCCGGTTTAGCTTTCTTTATAAGTTCTTATCAAAAGTGCTTCGTATAAAACAACACATTTTAATCTTGACCGAATGATAAAACAGTTATAAAAATGCACATGCATGGTACCTTTTGTTTCTGAGGTTTAGTAACGGATTTTATGGTCTTTATGACTGCCAAAAATTAAAGTTAAACAAATTCTATGAATATCTAGTCATAAGTTCCTTGATTAAAACAAAAAGGTATATGCAAACACATATACAGCTATTCTCTCTACATGAATTCTTGATTTTAAAAAAAATCAGCATAATCGCAATAATTTCGTCACAAGTATTAAAAAAATCAGCATAATCGCAATAATTTCTTCATAAGTATAAAATAACTTCACTAAATCACAGAATGGCTTGTAAGTGTTGATAAAAAATAATGAAAATAGCGTATAGGCTAAAATCATTAATTGGAAACAAATATTCATATACATTGTATTATCATTATGTCACTTTAAGCATTATAAGCTCCACCCCATTAGATCCACACCAACTAAATACATACAAACCTAATTTTCCCAAGCCCTGCAATCAGGACAACTATGGTCAGTCCATGAGCAATGGCGATAGGTGCCACAACCTGGGTCTGGACAGCCATACATCCAACGAATACAAAGACGATGGTGCCGAAAAATTCGGCCAACGATGGACGGACAACTCTATCGTAAAATGAATCCGCAGCGCCACGGTTAATGAGAGGGTCAAGCTCGGACATTTTTTACACACGTATTCAAAAAGTACTATTTCATTCATGAATACATCATAGACATATTTTTTTTAAATTATCTATCACGTGAATTCAGTAACTAGGTTTGTCTCCCGTGACATATTTTATCGTATACTGATTCACATGAGGTCTTGAGATTATTTGCAATAGTTAACAACGTCACGGTAGGATGATTTACTCGGTCATGAATAATAAGTATCTAAAATCCAGGCGCGGATCTATTTGATAGGTCCCCTTCCAATCTCCAGAAATACAGGCATTTAGCGTTATTATTAACCAAATTTCTTTTCATAAATGAAAAAAAAATCCCCATACAAAATCAGTTCAAAATATACATGAATCCAGCATCATGTTTTAACAAAAAAGGAGTGGTCATTACTATATCAGTACATGTACCGCGAAGTGTACATTCCTATTTTTTGACATTTTTTCTTAATTATTTTCTTTTTCATTTCAATGGTTAAAAAAATCTTCTGAGGAAAAATGCAATGTTTGACTTACTGAGGAAAAACAAACAAACAGAATAAAAGCCAGCAAATATCATAAATAATTACTATGATTAATAAGATTAGAAAAGTCCCTCGCTTTCAATGATAAAATTTTTAATCCTTTCGCGAGGGGGACATTTAAACAAGCCTACATGTGTATTGCCTGTGATAAGACCTTTCTAAATACACTATGATTTTTTAACCCATGACCTTGAAACATGACCTACTTAAAAAAAATAAAGACAAATTGGACATAACTTTTGAATGAGAAGAGATAAGACCTTCATATTATTAAACATGTGTATTATCTGTGAAGGTCACAAGGTCAAAAATCATAGTGTATTAAAAAGGTCTGTTTTCAGGTAGTACACAGGTGCATAATGAAAGCCCTACCTTTTCACTTTCAAAAGTCATGGCCAATTTAAAGTAATGTTTAGATTTTAGAAAAGTAGGTAAAATTTCAATTTGTATGTTACGGGGTTAAAATCATAGTTTATTTAAAATACGGTATATGTAATATGAAAGCCCTATCTTTTCTCATTCAAAAGACCAAGGTTAAAATCAATGAAAAATAGTGCCTTCCCACAAATTTTTATTAAAATAGAAAATTTGGTGTTATAACACCAAATTTTATATTTTAATAAAAATTTGTGGGAAGACAGTAGGCTAAACTTCAAGGTCAAGGCCGGGGTAAAAAAAATCATAGTATATTTTAAAAGGTCTTGTCACAGGTAATGCATATGTGAAATATGTAAGTCCTCTCTCTCTCTCTCTCTCTCTCTCTCTCTCTCATTCAAAAGTTATGACTTGGGTTTAAGTTTTTTTTTGTGACAAAGCGGGTGACAAAAATGAAGTATTGAATTATAGGAAGTTGGATATTATTTTGTTTTCCTTGCCACAGAATATCTTTTGATATTTATTTTTGTTTCCTGTTTTAAAGAAAGACCTGCCTTTTTTAAAGATAGGTAACTGTTTGTTCGTTAAGCTTAGTCTTAACTTGAAAAATTTTGTATTTATCTTATATATGTATAACTTTACACCTTCAATTGTTATGTTGGCAATCACTAATTTAATTATTGTACGTATATATTACAGGGAGAGGTTTTTTTTAATTTGCAAGAACTTGTAACCAATCCCGTTGTATAAATTATACAATAAAATATGTTCAAAACAATTTTCCGAGGACTTCCCCCTATTGTATATAATAAATAGACCCTGATGGCGATTTACCGACATACCCCCCTTCCCCGGTACACTTAAAG